CCTTCCAGCCGGAGCCTGTTCACAGGCTAATGAAACAGTGTGAAAAAATAACTTGTAAATATAAACTTCCTGTTGAGTTAGTTTCATTGATTCAAACTACCGTAAAAAATATTTGGCTCTTACTGCTGTTGCATAGTGCTCGCTGCGTTCGCTGACCCTTGGGGCAAACTTTTTCCGTCCGGCTCTCTCACTGTCAAAAGCGCCAATAGCTCAATTATAGATGCGCAATTCGATGAAAGAGAAAGCATTAATCAGTGCACGTGGGTTAGGCCAAGTTTAGTAATGGGGAACAACCGTCATGTTAGATAACCGATTTCGTTGAAGCGTCAAGCGTGAATCACATCAAGCACTTCAATAGTTCTTTTTCAAGTCTATAGTCTTAATTATAACAGTTGTCCCGTGATTACTGGTCATCCGTTTACTTAACATGGATGAATTGGGTGGCTAGCCACCCCCCTTTTGGAGCGCACCCCCCGTCGATTCAATGTACCCGTAAAAATTCCATTCTGATGGCATAGATCTACAGCAGTCCCTACAGTGTATCTGATTGGTTGTTGCGCCGTTTTGAAGGAGTTTTTGTTTCTTTTTGAAGAAACAACCAATAAGAAGATCTCTGTACAGCTACGTAATCCGTCCTAAGATATGAAGAACAGACAAACACATAGTACATCACTTGCAAAAATTTTCGGGAGTCTCATTTCAGACACTTGTATCTGTTCTCGGACAATTTCGGACAAAATTTCAGACACTGTGAAAATTCACTGTGAGGTAAATTAACGCTTACAAAACACGAATTAGACTGAAATAACATCTGTGAAAATGATAGTTTTACTGCATCCTCAAGGTTTTAGAGATATACCGAGGAGAAAATAACACAAATTCTATCAAGACCATACGTCTGTCAAGCAGTGTCTCAGCTAGAGTTCGCATCACAAAGGAAAGTAAGAGCTTTGGAGCTATTTAAAAATTTTACACTGTAATGAAAATATCTCGGACGCTTAAAATTTCAGACGCCTAAAAATTTTGGACGGTTTTACTTCGGACACTTTTTTGGTCCGAAATTAAAATCGTCTGAAGATATTTTACATGTAGTCTACTTATAAAGAAACGGAAGAACTTATCAGCAGCAATCCCAAATATTCAACAAATTCCCTCTTCAAACAAAAAGCTATTCAATCCCGCACGTATATCGGAGTTTCATTCCATTTTTTCTAAAATACCATAGGAGAGATGATTGAAAAGTAGGATTTGACTAGCCATACTTCCTTCCCTCTTCGACGCCTTTCAATTTTAAGGGCCTTCCTAAACCAGAGCTCCCCGCTCACGCAATCACGAAAACTTGTACTTTTCAGATGAAAATACAGACCTTACAGAAGGAGAATTAGGCCATTAAATCAGAAAAGGCGCTTAATAAAGAAAAATTGCTACTTAAACTAAAACGAGATCACTCAGTGTTTTACTCAGTAACATTGATAATTAAAAACAATTTGCAGTATTTAAAATAGCAACATCTGATTCAAGCGATAAGGCGATTCTTTATCGTAAAGTTCAGTACATCTTCCAGACTTCCTTTATCAAAAATTCCAATCAAAACTAAAGTACGCAATTAATTAACAACGGAAATTTGCGTCGTCCGAGGTACTTTGAATCCAACAGACTAAATATATTTAACAATCTAACAATGGTTTCCATTTTGTGGGCCACTGTTCCACTCTTCAGCGGGACATCACAATTGACAATTACTAGAGCAGTTCTCGAGAAACCGATGACGTGACAGGAAACCATTAAAAGTCGTGAGAATGACTTCCCATTGAAATGGATTGTAATATGGACAAATTTAGCGCATTTTCAAACCCGAAAAATGCGGAGAAAATGTCATCGCGTGACTTCTAGGGCTTCTAAATATCGGGCACGAATTTCAATTTTTGCTTTGTGCTAAAATGTCTCCCGTTTCAATCTTTTCCCTATTATCACGCATTTAAAAATAACCAGTTCATGCAGAGAAAACCAGTTGACCCTGTCAGTTGGTAAAGTCAGATTTTCTATAAGAATGATATCCCCTAGTCTGAATGAAAGCTATATTCACAGGACCGTTCTCCAGGGTTTTAAAGGGTTTGGCAGGTGGTTATGTGAACTGTTGAGTACTGTCAGTTCGATTGAGTGTTTCTTTATCTCTTACATTTTTTGGCATGAAGAGATTTGTCAAACCCATTCATCTCATAAAACCAGCTTTCACTGACCGAGGACAGATGTATTTCAATGAGGAAATACCATTACTTTTAGAAAACCTTAGTAGGTCCGATAGTCAGTGTCTACAATTAACCTAAATTGAAAGCTATTGTACTTTCATGCGGTACTGCTTATTGCGGTGTGCAAAGTGGTTCTAACTTCTCAGTCTGTGGATGAAACCCTAGTGTGTAACCATTCAAATGAAAGCTATTAAGCAGTACTTTCATGTGGTACTGTTTATTATGCTGTACAAGGTGGCTCCTACTTGTCAGTCTGTGGATTAAACCTTAGTGTGTGACCATTCAAATGAAAGTTATTGAGCAGTTTTGTCACTTTGTGATATGCCTATTTCCGCTAACTTGCTTGCCAAGTATTTTGGAGTATTTTTTCGCTGCACTGCCAGGAACCCAACATAGATTTTTTAAGAGTAACGTCACACTGTTAAGAGACTTTTTATAGCTAATCAAATAATACTCGAGTGTCGACGAGTGCATTTTCAAGATTAGATATTTGTCATAGTTTTAGGTGATTCAAATCTAAAACCCGTCTGTCGACGCGGTGAAAAGCAGTTTACATTTGTCTGGTCACGAAATCAAGATTTAAATCACTAAATCTCTAAAATATAAATCAAAACAATAAGCAGTCTCGGCCGAGAATATTTTTGATAGATTAATACACTTTAAAGGTAAAGAGTGATATCGGCGAAACCATTCAAAATGTTTGTGCAAGGCAAGGAATTATCGCATTTTGAAGCGCGTCGTTTATATACTCACTCAAACGATGCTTTGCCCTTTTATCTTGTAACTGTTTAGCCAATTTTTTTTTCTGGCGCGGAAGAAATGGAACCTTAGTTAACGGCACAATTTATTTACCAGCTTTAAATCCGCATTGATACGTTAGAGACGTTTCCAATAACTTTTCAACTCTTTGTTCGTTTATATTAAGTCGAGATAATGATATAACAAGAGAAAAATGATTGTATGTTTTTAAATTATTTGTCATTTAGCACCATCTCAACAAGATCAAAACGTGTATTAGACAAGGAGCTCTTGTTAAGTAATGTGCCATGTCCGATAACAAAGTTAGCTTTGACCAAAAGCGATTTTCTTCCAATAGAATATCAATACCTCATAAGTCGTCCGGAAGGGAGAATTTCTCGAGGTTTGTTTAAAATGTTCGTGGACATTCTCTTCATGTACCCTCAATGTCTCAGGAGCGGTGTATGGAATTTTGTGAGGAGAATTATATGTGGAGTAGAGCCTGAAAGAGGTTTAGCTATAAGGTGTAACTAAAATAGGTAAAATTAATTTCTGTTCCGATACAGTATATATCGCTTTGACATAAATACGTGCGTAGTAATCTGAAGGAGCCAACATCGTCCGCGAGCAAGTTAGATCAAGATCTTTAAATTGTCGCATTCAGTTATAAAAAGATTTCACTTGACAGCAATTTCTTGATCATTTTTTCCAATCCCATTATTTGTCAGCTCCTTGAAAACTAACTCCGCTTTTAGACATTATCTGTTGGATTCGCTCTTTCATCAAACATCTACAGGCTTCTGTAGATATTAGGCCTGGTATCAAAATTGCTGAGAAGATGCAAATATTGTTAACAAATACAACGAGGGCCGGAAAACCACCACAATTTGAAACCATCCGCATTAAAATATCTCCCGACAGTTCAGTACTCCAGCGAGACGTAAAGTGTAGCGACTTGAATAAATTTACTTCAGTTAGGCGCGTTTTCGATTAACAGCGCGCGGATGCATTAATGATATTGGTTCCTGAGCTTTTTCCCCTGAAACAGTGTTACAAGAATTCCTATTGAAACGATTGAATTATGTTTGATTACACTGTGTTGTACATCTAACTGCACTAGAGGCCTATTTCTGTGAGTAATCGCTTTCGCACTTTGCGCTGACTGACGCCAATGTTGATTACCACCAACCCGCTTTTCCGAACCCTTTACGCGCACCGATGTCGTTTCATTTCTCTATAGCTCGTAGTTAAACATTGTGCAAATCTACAGCTCACTTTTAATTATCTACTCCCAGACCACATAAAAACATCAATTCCCAGCAGCGATTACGCAATTTAACAGTGTTTATCTACCGATCGTAATCAAGAAAGCCCTCAACGAACGAACGTAAGCTTTAAACAGAGGCAAATGATGTCTGTACATACCGTGATGGAGATAACTCATAATGGTGTCTGCGCCCGACGCTCTTGAATCTGCTACAGTGTCGTTGCAGCAGTATTCACCTTCTATGCTCGACACACTAGCGTTATTTTCCAAACTGTTGTACAAATCGATCATGTACCTTGGTGCAGACATCTTTCGACCGTGAAGCCGAGTGTTGAGACTTATTCGCGGCTTGTGAGGCAAGCCCAAAAGGTTGAGAATTTCACGTCGAAGCTTCGCAGAGGTGGTTCCGTTTTTGAGGACCGATGAGGATTCAGCGTTGGAATCCCATTTCTTTTGCGAGGTTTGAAGTAGCCGAGAGTTTCCTCGTCCGAATGAAAGGCGATTCACAATGTCACTTTCAAGTTGCTTCTGCGTTGTTCCATTCTTGACGACTTTCGACGCCTCTGTTACTTTGCTGCCCCAAGGCAAAGAAGAAAGCGCAAAACTTACTATCAATAATCTGTACAAGCAAGTCATTGTTCGCTGTCAAATTTGCGCAGTAAAATATGGACTGCGAACTTGCGAAGTTGTATTTTGGAGGTGGACGAAACACGACTCTAGCGATCAAAGGATAGACATATCGGCATGACCGGTTTACTTTGCTGAAGAATGAAGCTGTCAATCAAATCGTGCAGTTGACCGCCTTGCGCGACAAATGGGTTTATTCCGAACCAATCGCTAGTCTTTTCCTTTGTTGGGGAATTGAAAGAGAAACATAACACCTCTGGAACTTTGTCGGGTTATTATGTCAGTTGATGGACACGGTTAATTACCGCAGGACTGGCATGCATCTCAGAACTCTTGCACTCGCTGGCACTGTATTGTTTGTGGAGTCAGTGATAAAGCTTTTGTTGATTGATTACGGTTATTAAATTTCACAGCGGTTGAGCTCATTGCCCGCGGGCAAAAGCGGTCAGCATCGAGTGGTCAGCAACAAAAATGTCCACGAGAAATGGAGGAGATAACGTTTGTCAAAGGGATACCCAATGCAATTCGAGATGTGGAGAGATTCATATTAAAGCTAATTAATACGCAAAGCTTTCAGAGCAATTTATTATAAAAAAAAAAATGTTTTTAAACAATCTTCTTCACCCTTTGATCCATACCGGTCGAGACCCCCTCAAAGCCAAAGAGCTAAATAAATCGATTTGCTAAAATAGCTCGCTTTGTCAATCCCAAGATGAAAAAAAAACAAAAACGCTTTCGCTTAACACGCGAGCAGGACCCGCGGGTAAGGGGAGAGATAAAAATCAGCACTCTACTCCAGTAAGCCCCACACTTCATTCTATCAGCAATTTAAACGTTTAATTGCCATTTGCTTTTGATTTCAGACACTGACCCGTTATCGACTAAAAAGAGATTGCAAAAACAGTTTAATATCGTGTGCTGAGGCGATAACAAGGAGCGTTTTAATCGGGAACAAATTGAGTTTATCTATCAAGACATTCTTCTAGCGGAAATTGCCAACACAACCGGAACGTCATCCATCACATATCCCGCCAACCATCTGCAGTGAAATATACTTGGACTCACGGCGAGTCAGGAGCCTACTACTGAAAGAGTATAGAGCTCACAGTGTGGGGGGAGGGGGGAGGGGGAGAAGAGGGGGAAGGAGAGGGGAGAGACGTGGTATTCAGGTATAGAAGAGACAGGGTATCGGGGGGTGGGGATGCAAATTAGGCCTAATGGTGAGTTGACCCGAGAAAAGTCTTATAAGGCTAAATCCTGACACCCACATTTTTGTGCTTACCATAAAAGAGATTAAACAGGAAAGGGATGGTGTAGCCTGCGTCGCAGACGGAAATTTACCCGTAAATGACTAGTAGGTTGCGTCTGCGACGCAGGCTAGGGATTGTGGGGCCAATTTGTTTGGCCTCCTGCCAAATTTCCTCGCATACGGTGAAGCCGAGCTGTCCTACCGAACGGACAGGTAATATCAGGGAGTGATGGACTCCTGACAGTAGTCTTTTTCTTCGCAGCTAACAGAATAATAAGACCTCTTCTAATGCTTAACTCGAGAATTTTTGTCAAAAACTGCAAATTTTGTTCAAAATGACACAACGATTATCCCACATTGCGACAGCGATTGAAAAGCGAGTTGTCGAACGCTTTCCATTTTTTTTCCAAATCTGATCGATTTGTTTCATATCTTTGTTTTATCTTCACTTTCAGAATCAAAAGAAAATATAAATCTGTTTTGAAAAATTTCAGGGCAACCGACACAGCACCCCGTGTGCGACCCTTTGGTTCAAATTCAGTTCCACGGTGATTTTCGACAAAATCATCCCTTTTTTCTGGAAGTCTGATGAAAGGTAGGTCCAGGTAGGCATTTATGCTGCTGAACAAATAAATTACAATATTTAGAGAGGAAGCCACTTCAGCCTTGGCTGGTTTCCACGCGGGTCCTCTATCCTGGTCGAGTAGCAAATTTTAAAAAGACGTTGGTTCAGTCGTGGAGGGAGGAAAACCGGAGAACCCGGAGAGAAATCCTCGGAGCAAGGCCAGAACCAACAACAAACACCGACCCACATATGGCACCGGGCCGGGATCGACCCCGGGCCACATTAGTCAGAGCTGATCGCTCTCACCACTGCGCCATCCCTGCTCCGCGGCGCGCTGTTACTGAAACACATATAGCTATCACTTAAAACGGTTTATTTAGGGAGAGGCAAGACGGTCCTGCAAACATCATTCCATCAAAACAACCATTTGTTCTGATACAGAAATCGCTGGCACTTAAAACGCTACTTTAATTTATTGCGGGATAATATGTATAACCGCATACCAAGAGGAAATATCTTTAACAAAATGAGATGGCATATTTAAAGTTTTTCTTCCTGAACAAACGTCAATGACCTACTGGAAACTTCTGTCACTGTAAATTTCTTTCCCTGCCTGCGCATTTTATGTGATTCTATGACAATATCCTCTCGTCTGTCCTCGTAATCCAGAATTGCTAAAATCGCTTTTATCTGCTCGTCAGCGTGAAAATCTATCATGTAGTAAAAAAACGCATCTCGCAGAAATTTCATTTTCAATTGAGTTTGAATTTCTCGTTGTGTCTGTTTATGATGAGTCTTTGCGGTCGCACCAGTACTCCCAGTGGGCTGGTGCCTAGTGGCTATAACTTTCTGCTCGCTTCCAGCCTGGTTGTTTACTTTAAAATCTTCTAATTGTTTTTCAGTTTCTTTCAATTTACGCTGTAACTCGACCAATTCATGCATAGAGGAACAACAAGGAACTATTTCTTCCGGGTCAACGCCTTGGTGCGGATTTTCAAATTCCCGCAGTTTTTCTCTCAATTCGTTGATCTCCTCGCGTAGTTTGGATTTCTCGGTTTCTTCCTTACGAGATTTCTCGGCGTTGGATTCATTTTCTAGCTCGAGTTTTTTCCTTGCTTGCTGCTCCCTGTAAAGATCCTTGCGTGTTTTTTCAACTTCTTGACGTAAGGCGCTGCTCTCTTTGTCTCTCTCAAATAACAGCCTTCTCGTGTCTTTCAGCGCTCGCTCAAGCTCACAAATCGTTGCCCTCAATAAAGAATTCGATGTTACAGAAACTGTATCAGGGAGAAACTCTTTTTTATCTTGCCGTGTATCAACATTATCTTCTTCTTCTTCATCGGAGTCGTCTTCAAAGAAGTCAATCTCGAAGTCGTCCAAATTATGGGTGATATTTTTAGCCGTCTTCTCGTCCTTTTTAATGGGAGAATTCTCCATCGAAGACATGAAAAAAGTTTCTCTGAAGAGTAATGGTAATTTGGTTAACCGTATCACGTGGCGAAACAGTGGCTGATGTGCTTTGATGTGAACAAAGAGCGATAAAAATAGACTTGTTGACGGCTCGTGGTTTGCACTGCCGGAAGTACCTGTCCTAAGGGAGGATTTATGGGAACGGTCACCTGTTCAACGAACATAATTGCGCGCGGGTGGTAACCTTTGTCACCAGGGCCTTGCAGGCGCGTTCAGATCCAAGATGGCGGACATGAATGTGTAAAAGACACTGGGATCGAATTTGCGTGGCCGGGAGGGTGATGTGAAATGCCAGCCCCAGGGGTGCTACTTCTGATTGTTAATTCATAGCGATAGGGAAGGTTGCAAATCAACGAGTCAGGCAAAACTCGTGAAGTGCATAAATAAGGGATACGTACAAATAAAATCTGTTTACAAAATATGTTCTCTGTTTACAAAGAAAAACAAACAATGAAAGAAGAAATCAATGAACAAAATGACTTTACAGGGTGAACACGTTCAGGCTTCATGGGTTATAGGTCTCAAGAGAGTGAAATGTTTACTGTTTACAAAAATTCGTCTGATAATGGTTTTTATACTCTCGAGTAGACGAACAATTAAATAAGACATCAATAAAAAACAAATCATACCTTTATAAAGCTTGCACTTTCAGAACCGTCTTCACGTGTTAAAGCTCTCAAGAGAACAAAGTAACGTGTGCTTGGGATATTGAAGCTAGACTTTAAGCCGGTTGTTTATTGATTATTGATCAATACCAGGTTGGAAGATTATTTTGTTGCGAATAGCACTCACACCAGTGATAATGACCGTGCGGATCTTAAACCAGATTATGAATTAAAACAATTTACTATGTGATTGTTCTTGACTGAAAATCTAAGAAATTAAAACGCTCAAATATGGAAATTTTATAACATTAAATGGAAGTATTTTTTTTTCTTACTCAGCAAAAATTCCCGTACCATGGTAACCCACAATTCTGTTTTGTTTTAATTTTTTTTTTGTTTTTTTCCTGTGCACAAAAGCGTTAGCGCCTAGTATCCAAACAAAAGCTGAAAGCTCCAATCTACTAGTTCCCAGAGCTTTTTCCATTGAAATTTTGAGAAGCACTGGGAACGAGGCTGTGAAAGCCCCGGTGGAAACCGTCACGTGAACTTTGAGAGTAATTTGTTATGCAAGATAACGTTATCGAGCAAAATGTTTCTATATATCGTAAGGTTGAAGGGAGAGCTAAAAAAAGACCCGGGAAATAATGATGTGATAACGGTCGCCTTAATCAGTCTGACAAGTTTCCTCCCTAAATTACCACTGAAGTTTGCTATGTTGTTTTTGCCGATTTCCAGCATGGATATCTCGTTCTTGTGATTCGTCTTATTTGCCAAAGTAGACAATAAACAACATACGACTTTTTGAAAACTTCTTAAGTGTAGTGCTTAAGCTTTGTAAATAACAAGTGATTAGTAATGAGCTACTTTGTCAGTTCATGACATTATTAAATGTCCACTTTAAAACTACCGTCTGCTTGATTGCTCGCTCAAGTTGCCAATTTTGTTGATAGTAGTTCAGTGTAATAGCAGTGGCAAGTCCTGTAATACGCTGGGATTTTGGTTGGATAGCTACAGAAGCGGGAAAAACATGGATGTGTTTGAAGTAAAAGTTAATCTTTCTCAGTTGTTAGTTCGGCCGTATATCTCTCTGCGTGCAGTCGTGTTGTACCGTTAAAAAAAATAATAAAACTGCCGTTTTATTGTCGGTGAGAGCGAGAAAGGAGAAACGGCAGATAAATAGTTGAGAACAGTTTTTTGAAGAGTGACCCATCGTCTATAACAGCAATTCGTTTCAGCTCGATTTTGGCGTTAGCTGATTGCGTTTCAACAAATTATCAAAAATGCGTTAGTGTACTCGATCTGAAGACCTTGAAGTATCTTTCCCTTTGAAATCAACACCCGATACTCAACAAATATTCTCTTTTTACTGTTTTTAGCCAGATTTAATAGGCCTTAGTGGTAAGATAGGCCTTTGTCGTACATGTCAGTGAAATCTGTTACAGAAATGTTTATGACTTTCTCTAGCGGTGCATGATAACAATAAAACTCTCTAGAAAGATGTTACCATTTCACTTGAACTGAATTAGGCACTACCTGACACAACTCGAGTTAGTACTAGGAAGTTTAAGTAACCACAACGGCGACACCGAGGACAACGTCGATTAATTAAAATGATTTTATATTTTACCTACAAATCTCGCGTTACCCTAAAGTCATTTACTTTGTTTATCACTCTCAAAACTATCACGAAACTGAATCTGAGACACGGTAATAAAATCGGAATAAATATTTTAAAAAATTAGCCATCGTGATTTACGTTCTTCAGACAACGCAGAATTTGGTCATTTCACGTTGTTGTTATTTTGTAGAGGACGGCAAAGAAATGTACCAAGAATTATAACGCACGTGCACAGCCATTGTCCTGCGCATTAAATCTTTTGTTTAGCGCTGGACGTTAATTCCCGTTACAGTTGCCGTCGTGGTTTTCTTTAACTCCATAGCTAGTGTATATGTTGTATGAACGCTAAGACTCGTGTTGTTTGTTTGTAATACGCGTTCCTGAATGAATTGAAGACCTTGTCAAAGAAAAAAATAACAGGCCTTTTGTCCAATGGTGAAATTTGAGGCTCATTTAATGCGATATTTGAGTTGTGATAACTCATAAATATCCACCACGTATATGCAGCTAGTAAGTGTATTTAATTGATGGTGGTTGTATTTATTTATTCTTCGAATAAAAGTCTCGTCCGGGATTTGGCTATAGGCCTTTGTCATGCATGGATGAAACATCTCGTTTCGCTTATACCCGTTCACAAGCTATTTATAGAACCAGATCCAATACTGACAACTGACTGTAAAAAATTGAACTCTTGCATAACTAGAGCTTAATATGCTGCTTTGGGTCTAACACTATTTGACTATAATATCTTTTACTTCATAAAAGAGCGGTTTAAAGAACAGAATGCCAAGTTGTTTTGTTTTTCTATTTTAAGTAAGCAATTATGCAATTAAATATGGCTCCTCGACTTTGCAAGAATTCATGATTATCGAGAGAAAAATATTTTTTCTCTTAATTGATAATCAGTTATATACATTAAACTATAACACACTCATACCACTTATCGTTGCAATTTGATTATAGACTTTGATTCATAGATATTGATAAAAAATAAACAACCTGTGTTTGCTGTCGATTTAGTTAATGACACTTGGTATTTATCGATCTTGAATAACATTGCCTTCAGATATCTCGGTTACAAATGTTTTCGTATTTCCTTATCACCTTCCGGTCATTATCGCTGGCTTAATTTCCTCATGAAGGAAAAACAAAATCTCTTATGGACGCTTTCAACAACTTTGTTACAATTTGGTATTATCTGAGTGTGATATGAAGGTTACTATTGCTACAAAAGCTATCTTTGATTAACTACTGCTTGTGCACGGCAGGTGGCGAGCGTTCACAGGCCCACCAGAGGTTCCGCTTGTGTCACCTTTTCCCGCCATAAACAACCAAAGACCCGCGCGGAGGTGCTAGTTGTGAAACAGGCCGTATTAATACGTTAGCACGCCCCTGAGGTTACAATCTAACCTTTGAGATATATAATAGAGCCATTGAGTGAAAACTCTCTTTATGGCCCTCCCATTGTCTTTAACAAGAGGTTAACATTAAAAACATCGCTTTGTTATCACAGTGTATTAAGTCATGTAATATATGGCATGTTTGTTTTCTCAATTTTGTCCATTTAACTAATAGTACAGGGACTGTCTCGATGCGCGACCCCAACCCTGACCTTACTTCGTTCTAAGCTCTTGAAAGCGCGTTTGAGATTGCTGTACTTTTGCTCCGTTACCTGCAATTTTTTCTTTAATTCTACCATTTCTTTCATGGCACCACACAGCGATCCACAATAACAAGTTTGGCCGGCGACACCCCCTTCGTGTTCTTGTTCCTTTGCTGCCAGGGTTTCCCGTTCAGCTTTGTACATGGCGATGTCTTGTTGAAGCTGCTGTATAACCTTTTCAAGATCGATAACCCGCATCTGAGATTTTTTGACTTCCTCTTCCAGAGTTGCGCTAATGTTGTTTTCCCGGTCCCCTCGGCATAGGCCGAGATCGTTTCGCAAAGAGTTAATTTCATTGTCGCGTTGTGACAGTAATTTCGTCGATTCGCGTAAAGCCGTTTCAAGTTGACTTATAGTTTCCCTTAGAAGTGATTCTGCCGCGGGAGCTTGCCCACATTTAAAGTCAAACTCTTCGAAGTTCTTCTCGCAGGATTCTAAACCCTCGCCCATTTCTCTCTCACCGATGGCAAGTTTAACACCGCCGGGCGTTTTGCCCGCCAAATCGGTCATTTTTAAATGAACCACGTAGCCTGGCTTTGATTCTTTGATTCAAACCTGACGTGCTCCTCGGCCCAAAACGATTTAACCACAAACACCACGGTTTTCACGCTACAAAGTACAAGGAGATTTCGAATTCGATTACTTCGACAGCACCACCACAATGGGAAGCAAAACAAAAGGAAATGGATTAAGAATAGAGGCTCACGACCTGTTCATTAATAAATCACGGTGTTCACTGGAGCGTGACGTGCTACTCAAGGCATGTATGCTCTGTCGAGCAGAAAGACCTTAAGACAAGTTTAAGTGATTTTAATTAACTCAAGTAGTTTCTTTTTTTGTTTTGTTTTTGCTATTTTTTCTTTTGGCATATTTCCCTGTGACATGTTAGTTGAAATGTCAGAAACTTGGAAAAACTGACATCATTATCAGTCATTATATGGAAAGAAAAACGGAAACCGCGCAAACTCGGCCAGAATAGCGAAACCTTTATCGGTCGGTTTACTTCATCTAAGCACTGTTGACACCAACAGAGATCCACATCTGAATTCTCCTCACGGTACTAATATAGCGTGAAGAATGCAGGTCGGGAGAATATCGAGAATTATCAACAAAGGGTGAGAAATATTTTGGTAAATAGGGAGATTTGTATTTTGTGTTAAAGCGAGTTTCTTTTTAACGGTTATTCTACAGTTTTGACCAAAATAACGGGTCACATAGTTCTTTTTTATATGATAGATTCCTCGTGTGCAGAGCACTACGGCCTCTCTAAGTTATTTCCTCTCATCAATGAACCAGAACAGATAAATTTTTCGCACATATGACAATATGGATTTAGAAGTTACTTGGACTATTTTGTTAGCTCGTAATCTGTCGAGACGTGACGCTTTACGTTATTAACATTCGTGAAACGTTTGCAAGCGATATGCGATGGTGCGTGCTGTTGTGCGTGTTTTTCCGCACCGCTTAGCGAGACCACACACTGTGGCTTGATCACAGAAATGATAAATATTGTAGTTTCGCTGCGCACTGAGTGTGGGATCGCATGTATAGCTAGCTGTCTGCAATCAAATCAAACTAGTTTGGCTTTTAAGTGCCGGGGCTAAATAAACTAACTGAAGGCCGACAGCGGACTTTCACGCAAGACCGCGCTTCTTTCAAACTGCGCCTGTAAACTGACGTTTTAACACGTGCGCGCCGTCGCGCATGGGTTTATAGTGTAAAAATGGGACTTAAATGCAATTTAAGGTTTAAAAAAGAGGTTTATACTGCATTGAGACTACACAACGCTTCGCTGAACTAAAAATTTGTGGATTTCTGTGCGGAGGGGTTCTCAAATTCGCAGTTTCCCCATTCAACTATAGCCTTCACGAATTTTACAAACGCCAGTTTAGATATAAAGAGCACAGAAACTGACTTGAGACCAACTCTCAGTCAAAACTTGAAAGAAGCATTTACAAATTTGTTTGTCGTTTGCATTCCGCATTTCTTTATTCAGCGCGTTAATTGAATTTGTAAGATTGTTTGCAATTTAATTTCCTTCAGGAGGCGCGTTCATGGAAGTTATGTTAATTGTTGGCGCGGTCAAAAGCGTTTTTCATGGTTGATTTCTTCTTTAACGCATTGAGAAGAAATGATCTCAATTTCAAACACTTTTTCATTAGTGTGTTGGATGTAGTCTTCCGTTGAATGAGTTCCGGCTGGATTACATCCCAAAGAAATGAAAAGGACGCGCTGGATAGCGCAATGATTGCTCGTCTCATAAAATATTTCTTTTTTTCCAGGAATAAGCATTCTGATTAGATTATGCATTAAAATAACAATCTTTTAATTCATGATCTAAAACTCTCATGGAAACATGTGAAAAAACCCCTCCTCCCTCTACTTCTTACCCCGCCCCACAAACAGGGATCTCAGGCCGACAGGTTACCCGTTTCACCCGTGGGTGCTAAGTAAACAATTACACTATACTGCGCCAACTTCTTGTCAAAGAAGATTTCCAGTTCACTGAGCTAGAGAATTATGAGGTTAGTTGGAGTAAAACACAATTTAATCGAAGCCGTGAACCGGCTGATTTTGTGGCCACATTATCTGATAAATTGTTTACTTGGAGCGTTCGAACTGGCACCCCTCTCTATTGAAGGCTCGCCATCAACTATGAAGCTGTGAATACATTCTTCAAGGACAATTAATTGCGGTGAAAGTAAACTAACACTACATCAAGAGACGTACAAATTAAATGAGCTCCGATGCCTGGTCACTTTTATTGAAAAAAAAAGCGAGCTTGAATTTCTCCGGTGATCATCTACGGTGGAGCAAAAATTCCACGTATCTCACACGAGTTGATGAGTTTTAGAATTCAATATCACTGTTTCATTAATGTTTACAAACAACGTGATCCCAGTTTTTGCTTGTAGCTTCAAGGGTGGTCGTGGATATATCAGACTACCTAACGAGTTGAAGCAACATGGCGTAAAATCATCTCCCTTCACTATCTAATCGAATCTAAATAAGATTTACGTCGCTAAGTTTGATTCAGAAATGTCACAACAGAAATGTGCGATGTTTTCAAATATTTTCGACCTACATTACAGAAGATAACTGACAGCGGTCCAATGAGTTTGGTTTTTGTATCCACATTGGAAAAACGCCGATAAAATATAGCAAAATGCTGTTTAGTTTCCTCAACAGTTGAAACACCGGAACGAATTTTCTCAGGCCATTTTTAAAGGAGGGCAGACTCAAACGGCTAGCGTTTTCTATATTTCTCAAGACTGGAGTGCTTTATAAAGGTAGGGCACGTTTTATTTGAACCATGCTCGGATTAGCCAATCGGAGTTCATGACATGTTCAACTCCGAGAAAACCCTGGGGTCGAGTTCCTTTTTGACTGCGCGGCTGCTAAGTTTCGCTACGGAACCTCGTACCCAGGGTCTTCTGCACTTATCAGAGACTGTTCCATCTGTTGTTCCTTCTGGGCTTGTTTTTGAGTTTTTGGGAGGACTGTACGATGTTCGAGTCTGGATCGAAAACCTGTTGTCTTATTTCTGGAGCTAGCCGTGGTTTTGGGCGATCCGTAGCCGTCGCATTAGCCGGGCAATTCTCTGATTCTGGAACCAAGGGTCATTTTATTCTCATTTCGCGCTCTGGAGATGACCTTGAAGAAACGAGGAATACAATTATTCAAGTTTGCGCAACCGCTGAAGGTAAAGCCAGCCATATTAGAAGCATAGGTGATATTATGCGTCAGTTCAGTAGAAACATCCATACATCCCCCCCTGGGCAACCTGCCGGGCAATCCCCAGGGCATCGGACATTTTGAATTTTTGGTTGGTTTCCTATACCCCGGGCCAAAAATGGCGATCAAACGCCCCACCCTAGGGGGACATACTTGACGATCAAATGCCCCTACCCCCAGGAGTACAATCCAAAAACTAGTAATGGAAAAGAAAACGAAAGTCGCCCTCAAGCACCCTGTTTGAACTTCCACTGTGGTCCACCCATTTATTTTATTTATTATGTAATTTAAGCTCATCAGTATATAAAAGTGATCACATTTTTACTTGAAAACTTTATCTTTACCTTCAAACTCACCACACAACAGCTTCCCAAGGCCTCTCTTTTTGAACAATTTTATGAAGAACATTGTTTTCTCTTGATGCCATTCAAATTTTCCCCTACCCCTCTCAAATATTCCCACCCCAATATTAAGGTGGGGGTGAACATGAAAGCTGTATTTTGGCTGGGTATTATGGTTTTAATGCAAATAGCTCGTTCACATTTCAAGCAGTCAAAAGTCTCTCTACTCATCCCACATATCTGTGGTTTGGGCTGTTTTATAAATTTTTAGGTGATTTTTGGGTATATTTGGGGATATGTAGTTTTTCTCAAAGGATTAGTAAAATTTATGGAAATAGGAAATTTTGAAGATTTGATGTTGTTTAAAATTGGAATTTGAAGTTAAAAGTTGGTAGATGTACAACAAACAGTTGTCCACCAACCTGGGGTGCCCTTTCAGGAGCATTCAATTGTCTGGTGGTGTTCCAGAACTTTTTCTTCATTTTAATCCCTCTTTAAACTTCCTAAAATTTCACTTAAATTCAGGTAGACCCACACCAACCTCTGACTTCAAACCCCATGCCTCCTTCCTCAAGTAAATCAGCATGTCTCCAATCTCTTTAATTGATACATCATGATACATTATCATTACCGGTACTCCTTTCTTAAAGTGAGTGATCTTTTGATATCTTTAGTTAGCATATTTAGTTGGTATATTCAGTTGCCATGAGTATGATTAATCATTTGGCAAAATGTCACAATTGTGTTTTGCATTTTCTGTTTGCATAGTTCACATCGTTATTGCTAATCTTGGAGAAATGAATACCCTGGATCAAACTCTTAAGACTGCCTTCAGTAAGGTAAATACAATGATGGACACTAGGTGGTAATTAAGTAAGCAAAGTAAGTAATCTTTATTAACATGCTAGAGAATACACTGAGCTCATTACAATTTAAATTACAAATATTACTACTTTGCAGGTATTGCAAAACAGACAAAAAGCATTTAGAAATTATAAAAAAATATCTAGATAGTATTTTAGGAAAAAAAATCCCTGAAATTATATTATAATAAAACAATAAAACTATGTAAATAAAAGGACAATGAGACTATGCGACCATGTACAATTCATTGTAGCTGTAAGAAGTCAACTGTATTTAAGCATCTTTTAAAGCTATTAAGTTTAATTTTATGTCTTACAGCCCTAATGGCAATGCATTCCATATCTTCGCAGCCAAGTACCTTCATGATTTTAGTCCGTACTTTTTAGTAGTGAAACTTGTTGGTTGAACACCATATTTTAACTCATCCATGTGTCTTTGTTCCTTAAGGGGCACTACTGATTAGAGGGATTTTGCTGGATTATTTATCAAAACAGTTCTAAAATTGTTACTCTGAAAGATCTTCACTCCTTCACAATCCCAAGTGAATACAATAATTAGAACATCAACTATTAATATAACAGAGCAGTAGCTAATAAAAGGCAAACTGAGGCACTTGCCTGAGTTTTTTAGACACCCTAAATACCTAGGAAGAGAATTCAACCACAGACATTGCCTCAGTTATGACTCTTTCATGGACATTGCCCCACTCATCATTTTTTCTGGCTTACGGCCCTGATGAAGATAGAATCTGATGAATACCTCAGCAGAGTACCTAGGCAAGATCATGAAGTACGATGTAGATGGTGATTTTTGGATGGCAACTGGCCACTTTTCACAACCCTTCCACATGTGACAACCTTAAGACAAGTGTACAACACATATTGTTTCATGTAATTCGAACCTATGATTAGGTGGAGAAAATGTAGGTGTGATCTGCACAAACCAATTTGTGCACACTTGTTGTAAACTTGTTGTATGCAGCAAAGCTGTACTGTTTATATCGACTCTCATAATCCATGAAATGTCTTCACTCACACACGATTGGTCTAAATGTGTCATGTGACTGAGTATGCCTCAGCTAAAACTGGGGAATATCAATGAATATCAGTGATATTCCCCAATTTTCAGATTCCACATGTTGTGAAAAATATTTGAAAGATAATAAGCACAATAGCCTCCATTTGGCTTTAAAAATATTGCCAAATGGAGGCCATTGTTTATATAATAATGATAATTATCCTGTTTTTGTCTGACTAGGTTGATCCATCCAAAGTTACTCATGCCTTGCTTGTGAACAATGCTGGGTCAATTGGTGATGTATCAAAAGACACAAAGGATGTATCCCAGGATGTCAGCTCCCTTCAAGATTACTTTAACCTCAATCTTACCTCTCCTATGTTTCTCACGTAAGATTTTATATTTGCTTCTTTGTTTAAGTTTTAAATTATTATTAACACTGTGTCCTGAATAAATAGAAGCCAGGGTAAGCTATAAGATATAAGATATAATGGAAAGATGACACTGTCAAAACCATTGATTAGTAAACGCCAGGCTTTGGTAAACTGAATATGAGTCAAATAGATGATGGCCGAGTTTATAGCAAATGGTGGGGGTATTTTCTTATAAAAATTAGGCATCTTTGGTATCAGCAGCATGAGTTCTCTAAAAGAATTCTTCTACTCCATTTTTTGGATGGGATGCAAGTCCATTGCAGGATAACCCCAGCATTAAATGCCTGGGCAGAGAGAGTCAGTGATAGAGAGTAACATTTCTTGCCCAAGAACAAAATCCATCGACATTGTCCTGGACCACTTGATTCTGGGTCCAACATGCATCACACCAATTGTTGTGCAAGTACATCATTGTTACAATGCCAATATTTGCTAATTGATTATATATTATGTTTGTTTATAAATTCTTGTCTCATGGAGATGCAGTGGTCAAAGCAGTCAAGGTGTGCTGTGTTCTTGGACACCTTACCCCCACAGTCCCTTTCTTCATTAATAGGTACCAGCAAATCTAAATCAATAGGCAACCTTGTGATTGACTAGCATCCCAGTTAGGGGAAGGAGGAGTAAGAATATCCTTTAATGCAACAGAACTTTGATACCCTCAAAGTTAATGCAGTAAATGCCTCACACAGACATTATTTTTCCGTTCTTGTTTTTGTCTGTTTGGCATTGTAGTAACCAGATTTCTTTTTTAGGTCAAAGTTTCTTCAACAATTCAAAGAAGCAAGTTGTACAGTAGTTAATGTGTCATCCCTCATGGCTGTGCAAGCTTTTCCTTATTTCTCATTATACTGCACTGGCAAAGCAGCTCGGGATATGATGTGTCAAGTACTGGCTAAAGAAGAGGTAAATAAATGTTTTTGTCGTTGTCTTGATAACTTTTGCCTAAAGAATTTTACTTAGCTCTGTCATTTTTTGGTCATTTTATCATTGTGAGAGGCATGATGGCCTTATCATGGTTGGTGTGCTCGACTTCTCGAGCCCTGGCCAGGGAAATTAATGGTGTTGTTTTCTTTGGTGAGACATTTTACTGTCACAGTGCCTCTCTCCATCTAGGTGTATAAATTGTTACCAGCAAATGTAATGCTGGGGGTAACGCTTCAATGGACTAGCATCTCATCCATGGGGAGTAGAAAATTAACACCCAGTCACTTTGTGCTATGTAGAGAGATTAGTACCGGGTGTGCATTTTCCAAACAGAAGATAGTGCCCCATTTTCTCCAAAAAATTAATGGTTTACAATTAGTGCTTGAGGACTGCTAGTTGATTCATGATTGAAACATGAGTGTGGTTAACAAAACAACAGTGAGAGACAGGCGCTGGCCATTAAATTTCCAAATCTTCAGTTGCCAAATCTTCAATTGCTAAATCCTGAATTACCAAGTCTTGAATTTCCAAATGTTGAATTTCCAAGGTTTGGCAATTCAAGATTTGGCAGCTCAAGTTTTGGGAATTCAAGATTTGGAAATTCAAAATTTTGAAATTCAAGACTGGCTTGCCAAATGTTGAGAATTCCAAATTTGGCCTGCCTGAATTATTGAAAATTCTAGACTTGAATATTCAAGATTTTGCTTGCCAAATAATGAAAATTTAACATTTGGAAATTCAAGATATGGCCTGCCAAATATTGAAAGTTCATTTTCAGCCAGCTGTCGACTTCACTTTTGTAACAGAATTTTCCCCTTTTGTCTCATCACATGCATAGTTTTCAACGTTGTAGGCTTTTAGCTGTAGAGCATTTGAGAAGCATATTTTTCTAAAGTATCTCCTTAAAGGGGTACAATTTGGTAAACTTAATTACTGAGTATGAGTCTTGATTTAATGTGTTAATGTACGTAACTAATGACTTTGACAGTACTCCCTGTGTTAAAATCTTGCAGCCTAATGTGCGAGTCTTAAACTATGCCCCTGGACCACTGCTTACAAACATGTATGAGACAATACGCACCACTTGCGGTAATCATGAAGTTGTTGAAATGTTTAACACCAGCAAAGAAGAAGTGAGCATTCCCGTTTTTGTGTTACCATACATTTACCATGTAGTCTAAAGATATAATTATGTGTTTTTCTTTTCTGTATATAAAGGCGAATTCTAAGGAAATTTGCAAAGAAATATCTTTTCCTTCTTTTGCAAAAAAATGCTGACGTCAGCATTTTTGTCCGAGAGTCAAGGTGTGGCAACCCCCAGTTTTCTTTGTGCATTCCAATAGCCCTTGCTAAGACCTACTTTTTCCACATAGTCCTAATCTGGCGAAAAGATTTTGTTAAAGATAGTTGTGTTAACGGTGGAACAGGCATGTTAAATGCACTTCAATACACTAATGGTACCCAGCCCTCTTCACATCAGTGGCACAATTTTGTAACGCCGTGTTCAACTTATCTTCTATTGGTACAACAAAATTGCGACAAAAGATACAAGAGTGTTTTCCTTGAGCAGCAGAGGCTTTAACCACACCAACGTTTAAGGTCGGCACACACCAGGGGACATGTTTTGGGGACATGAAGCGGGAACAAGCCCCTTCGTGTGTCCGCATAGAACACAGGTAGCTCGGACAGCATGCAAGCTGGTGAGCACGCCAGGACACTTTGAAAGAGCAGTGCACAGGATACAACATTGAAATCTGAGGCCATTTTGTCTCGCTTTATGATGCACGATTTCAAGCAGGCTAAATCACATGCTATATGTCGCAGGGACAAAATTTTGTCCCTGCAACAGAACTTTTTCGCAAAAACGGGCATGTCGCAAGAGGAAAACTGTCGCTGTAACATGTCCCCGCAGTATTTCTCCTAGCGTGTGCCGACCTTCGGCATTCTTTGATGAAATTATAATCATTCTAGGGTGCTTTAATATTGTTTGACGCATATACATTTTTTTTTTCTTTCAGAATAAAGTTTTATCACCAGATGAGTCCGCGAGGAAACTTTTAATAATTTTGAAAGAGAACACCTTCACGTCTGGCTCGCATGTTGATTACTTTGACTGAAAAAGAACGACTGCCAAAATACGACATCCTTTGGCGCCGTCTACACTACGCCGCAAATGTTTGAAAAAGCAGCTTTCTTTCTACGGTTAGACCTACCGTCCACACTAATCCGTCACGAAAATGGAGCTTTTCGAAAACGCTCTTGAAAGCGGAGGAATTAGAAAACGCCGGCTTTGCGTTTTAATGTGGACGGAAACCATTTTTAAAACGGAGCTTTTTGACAACGAAGACGACTCGATAGTCATGTGATTTCCCTGCCCAGGTTTCCTCAAAGACAAATCCAAAATGACGGGTGATTGTTGCGTTTTTAAATTCCTCTGGCATAATATGGACGGAAAACATTTGATGCATTTTCGGAGTAAAAACGCCGTTTACAAATTTCTCCAGCGTAGTGTGGGCGGGTCTTTAATTTCCATGGTATGAAATGTTTATTACTTCATAAATGATTTAATAATGTATTGTGATGGAGATGCTTCACATCAAGAGTGAAGGTGACTCGATACGAGAGAGCAGCAGATTGCTAACTTCAAAGAAGTGGAAATCCAGGATTTTTACGTTGTGTATGAAAATTGGAGATTGAATAAGTTTGAATTAGTGTTATGTTCCATCTTGAGATGTAAAACTATATATTTATTATTTTAATGAGCTCAATAAAGGATCATTATTGATGTACAAATCTTGTCGTAATTTAATTTGTCGCAGCTGTTGGTCTCTTCCACGGCCAGACGTTCAGTTAACTGGGGCATGCTACAAAGAAACGGCGAAGCAAAATAAAGGAAAGAGTGGGGCTTGGTGCGAGGAGGGAAGTTCTCTCGCCTTCCTGCACGGCGCTTCTCGCCTATTTTTCCGAGCGTCACTGAATGCCTGGAAGAGGCGAGGAAAACAACTTCCTTTCTCCGTTACCTTTAGGCGACATCAGATGTAAGCAATTATTATTATTATTATTATTATTATTATTATTATTGTTATTATCAATTTTTGCTCATTAAAGCGTGGCTGCGAAAAAAGCAACGGCGCAAGTACCTAAAATGCACAAAATTTACGTGAACTTGCATTTTACTTCATCAATCAATCAATCAATCAATCAATCAATCAAAGAAACCAATTAGCGACTAGCATGCTGATAGAATCCGATCCATAGATTGATTTCAGTTAGGCTCATTACGGATGCCAAGACTGTCAGCCACATGGCACACTTGCCCTGTTTTATAATAACTTGACTTTCTGCGCTGAACTGAAGAACAATAATTATATTTCCTGAAGGTAAATCAGATATGCACTATAGACAAGTCGATGATTAGTCTTTATGCTCACATGAGCGATAAAGGATGTTTTTCTGTCCAAAAAATTTAAAGGAAATCAATTACCATATTTGTGCTACCAGCATCTTTAGGACGGGGTTAAGAGGAAGGGGGTATTCCCCTAGGGGGGGGGGGGGCTCCCCATGTAAAAAGGTCGGGGTTGCTCGTCGTCTCGCTTAGGAGTGAATATCAAGGATTCTGGTCTCATTTAGCGTGTTCAGGACAAAACGCCATTGTAAATTTGGGCCCCAAAGTATCTTTTAGGGTGCACTCAAAGAAATAATAATAAAAAAGCGCTCTTATTTCCGTTTTTAGGCTAGATTTCGGTCTGCAAGCGTGGGTTCCTTTCCTGAACAGCGGATGGAAATCGAGCCAATTCCGTTTAAAGTGATATTTTTTTAGGGGTCAAATAACGCTCGAGCAACTCCCAGATTGTTCTCTTGTTGGGTTTTAATTCAAATTTTCCGACCATCGTCCGTGACCTTTTCTTATGCGAATCCCGCCAAGGGTATTCCTCTTGGGTTATGTTAGTGTGAAATTATAACGGTATAGGTTCTGCCTTATTGGTCTGAGAGTGTAAGGTTACTCCACTACCCACCCCAGGCTCTACCTATCCACATCTTTCATGGTAGAATCTAATTGAATTCTCATAAACAGTTCCCACGGCGCCATTTCAGTTTCTTGCCAAATTCTTTATCTTGAAGACGTCTTTTGTCGCCAAGAAAAACGGAAATCGCTGAGAGCAGAAGTACTGCTGCAGATAATGTTTCTATTCAGCGACCAGTGTATCAATTGCTCTATCAATATGTCAATCATTTCTGGATCAGCCAATCAAGAGAGTTTTCTGTCTGCCACATGGTGTTTATTGAGCTATATCTATCTAATCCAGCCAATTCATTGTCACACGAAATAGCGGGAGCATTTGTTGCAAGCCGGGGAAAATGGAAGCTACTAACAAGCCAGAAAAACAACAACCTAGTTCATTTGGAACTCTCCAGAAGGTGTTGATATTTCTTGTGGTGCTCGCTGTCTGTGTTGGGTTTTTTGTTGGTCTGTTGTTAGTGAGGACGCGTCTGACTTCTCTCGAGGAGACTGTCAATGACTTGAGTGAAGTCTGCGAAACACCTTCCTGGGGTAAGTCTCAAGCAGATATCTTGCTCTCTTTGGCTTAGATTTTGAAATTTTACAACGTCACCTCCATTGAAAATTACTAACACTGAGTTGCCAGGATTCTTAGCTCGTTCTACAGAAACAGAAACCATAAGCTCCGGCCTGATGGGCCACTTGGCTCGTATGGAGACTTTATCTCTATCTAGGCTACGGGAAACCAGCACCAAATCTGCCTGCAATATAATTAGAGGGCTTACAGGAATTATTTTTTCTCCAATACTAGAACAGTATCGCCTTGTATTTTCTAAAAGGTTCAAATCATCTCTAAACGCTAAACATTGTATGAAAGGTAGCCCCAAATAGAAAAGAGAGTACTTTTTTAAGGTGAACATTAATTTTTTTCCTTTTTTCTATAGCTATAGCCTCTTAGTAGTCTGTGTAAACGATCCTCATTGGAGTTGTAGATGTTTGTTGTTAGAAGAAGGCTTAATTTGTTGTGAATCAAGAAATGATTGGAAATTTACAGATGCAAAGATAGCGTCCCGTTCCTTAAAGCCGTCTTTAAGTTCTTTTCAGCTATTGCTCTTAGGTTAGAGAATCGATTAACCACACTCTTTTTTCATAAGAAAATTGTTTCTGCCGCCAGGCGTTGAAGTAATTTTTGAGCCAGACTGCAGGCATTAAAGCCTGGTATGGCACGCATAACTTCCTACGGTAATGTCATTAGTATCGTGCGTAGGGCTAGCGCTGTTCGTTGTGGCTTCCTGATTTTGGCTAGTTTTGCCGCTTTGAGAAAGGAAGAATTTTTAACGAAACATATAACTGTATTGTATTAACAAATTTTCAACCCACAAAATTATATTCTTTTCAAAACTCAGTTTCATTTCGGTTTTCTTAAAACTTCGCAAATTTCAGCCTCAATGTTGTTTTACAAAATACTTTTTTTACATAAAAGAAGAGTGTATACGCGGCGTAACATCATGACGCCGCAGTTCAGAGCAGAAAAGCGTCCTATTTCAGAATAGTATAATACCTTAGTTCCCACACAGGTCACTAAAAGGCGTCAGACATTAACCTTGATATCAATTTCAAAGTTTAACGCAAATTCCGGTGCTGGATTACTGTGTTTACAGCATATTTTCTGCTTGCACGTGGATTTAACGCCTCTTTAGAGCGTATTAACTTGAGTGTCAAAAGTATCTCGTCTGGAGTTTTGCTAGCCTGCGTGGAAGGCGTTCAAAGGGAAGGGAGAGGGTGAAATTAGAAGCGTGCCCCTCCTATCACGCCTCGCGCTTCAGAATCTATAATTATCCCCTCTCCTTCCTCTTTTAATGCCTGACACGCAGGCTAGAGTCTTGCAATTCTACGCCAAGAATTCCAAAAAAAAAAAGAAAGAAAGAAAGAAAGAAAGAAAGAAAGAAAGAAAGAAAGAAAGAAAGAAAGAAAGAAAGAAAGAAAGAAAGAAAGAAAGAAAGAAAGAAAGAAAGAAAAACTTGCGTTCTTTTTCAAACACTCAGAACAGAAGCCAAAACCAATGGTGACTCACTGGCACGCGTTTTTATTTATTTAGTTTTTTAATTTTTAATTTTATTTTTTCACGCTTCGCGTCAGCTACATGTATTCGCTTGGAGCCTTGATTACTTCATGCACTTGTTTAGACAATCTTTGTCCCTGGTGATTGGCCTGAGTGATAATTTGGTTTCGTTATTGCCCAAAAGATTGTGTTCCTTCAAAGGCTCGGCCAAGCCGGCTAGATCGCCGAAAGCGAGTGATCGATCGAATGCAGGACTTTATTAACCATCGGGGCATGTGAATGCAGACTCCCTTTTCTTTAGTTGTCACTTAACGTTCCCAATTCATGTCTTTAATTTCTGAAACTGCGTCAATGCATGAAAAAGACTTCACCAAACAAAAATTTCTTACCTTTACCTTTTTTTCGGTTTCGGTATAAATATAATTATTAAATATAATTTCGGTATAATATAATTTTGCCTGTAAATTTTGGCCTCGCGTATAAAAAGCTATCCTCGCGACTTAAATTCAAGAACTCTTATGTTTTTACCTCCCGTGTACCACACGCAATCACGTGTTGTATGGGCCAGCTAAGCAGGCTACCTGACGAACACAAGGTTCTAAAGAATCGAAAAAAATATGCTTCACTGACTGTTTTCTTAACACTTCTTGGAAGTATAAACGTATGAAATCCAGCTGCACAAACAAAGTGGCTTTCAGTCCTGGGGAGCATCCAGTGGGGGGGGGGNCGGGGAACCGGGAGTTCGGTCCAACCCCTAAATTTAAAAAAATGAGACGTTCTAACACGCTGACTTGGCCTCAGAATGCCGGAAATCCCATTTCCGATGACCTCAATTGTAAAATGTTTCCGGGAAGAATACCCGACCCCCACCCCCAGCCCTCCTCGGACGGGCTTCGGCGATCCGTATCGCAAACCCTCTCCTCTAAAATCCTATATACGTCTTAGCGGTCTAAGTGCCTGTAAGGAACTCGAGCTCGATCGCGCTTAATTAGCCAAAACTTGGCAAAAGGTTTAAGAGTTATATCCTTCCCCATTTGCAAAAAGGAGACTTTTAAAATCTTTTTTTGTTTGCATTACTTTACCTAACAGGCAGCAATTCAAACCAGAGAAATCGTCGAGACACTGGCTCTGTAAGCTTGGAAGATGTTCGTAGCGAGATTCAAACCCAGCTGCGCTCTTTAACAGCATCTCAGTTGTGCTCACCTCCAGACAAGATTTGTGTGGATGGCCAGCCCGGCGCAAAAGGCGAGCCCGGAGAAAGAGGAAAAAGAGGAAAGAGGGGCGAGTCAAACAATACTATTTTATCAATTCTCCTTTCTAGATACCTTACAGTTCTTTTAATGTTAGTTCTGAGAATTTGAGAGTGCATCAAGGCCATGTCTTTGATGACTTTTTCTTTATTTCCCTGATCACTTGCCTGATAAAAAATTGACGTTCGGATCACTAGCTCCTGGTTGGTGTTGTTCTAAGTAGTCCAGTGTTCAGTTCCTCGGCCACGTTTGTAAATAGCCATTTTTAACCCCGTTATGTTCATTTTCATCATTTGATTTCCTTGGTCATTTGAAACAGTCGGGGAGTGTTCAATCAAGGTATAATTTTTTTTAACTAAGGGAACGAAAGATATAGCAACCTCGATCTCAGGCTCTCTCTCCGTTAAGGAGGCAAAGGAGAGAGAGAGCCTGGGATCAGGGTTCAAGATATGGAAGGCAGTATGGAAAGAGGGCTCTTCTACGAGCTCCAAATACGACAAAGGGTTGAAACTAGGATTAATGTACTACTCGTTGTTTTTGTAGGTTGGCCTGGCAGAAAAGGCGATGATGGATTTCCTGGACCTAAAGGATTGGATGGACGTGACGGAATGCCCGGCTACAAAGGAATACAGGGGTTCCCTGGGATTCAAGGAGAGAGAGGAGAGGACGGCGTACCAGGAATGCCGGGTGACAAGGGTGACCCTGGCTTCATAGGACCTTCTGGCGTGAAAGGCGAAATAGGGGAACCAGGCTTTAATGGGTTGCCTGGAGCAAAAGGCCAACCCGGAGCCAAGGGAGAAAAGGGAGAGTCCGGAATAAGTTCTTAAAGGTGCTATGTCATGGGGTTGCGCATCTTGAGTTTGTCGCTTGTAATCCGTATTAATCTTCTCCATCCTTAACCAGACTTGTTTCTTGATGGTTTATTATTACCTCTTTGGTGTTTTTCTATCTTAGTAAACTACTATTTTCAGGTTTCCTTCAATTTAAAGGCAATTTTGTGCGTGGCCAAAATAACTCAAAACACCCGCGATTGAGCTCCTTTAAATATCGGATGTTTAGTGGGCAATCAGGCTGTTAAGATTTTTAGTTAGGTTCTTATTTTATTCAGGGATTTAAACTGCAACTATACAAAACAGCACATCTTACCATACTGGAATCCCGGGGGGACTCTTCAAAGTTCTATACAGGGAGGCTGCGCCCCGACGTCCAACCCCTTACCCTTTTGTATACTATTTTGACAGAAAAGGTACCCTTTTATTGCCAAAAAAGTAAGTCTTCTTTTTATTTTCGTGCAGTGTCTAATAAATGAAATGATACAGTCATAAGGTGCGTCTGTTTGAAATATTTTTATTAAAGGCCCTTTAAAATAACTAAACTACAGATATCCCTAACGTTTTATATACCTCAGCTAGTGAAATCCCTACCATTTTATATACCTAAAGTCTGAAAAAAGTACCTCTTTGAGGCGGAGCCTCCCCTTATAGGCCATTATAGGGAAAATCCCCGGGACTGGAATACATAGGAGCTGGATTTTAAGATAACAGATGCGCAACTCAAGAAATCAAATCTGAAGTATTGTAATTGAAGTAAAGTATATTTTAGTCATACAATGCCTGCGTTTCGAATTGATCTTGCAAATAAGAACCTGATTCCAATTTTAGGCCGAATTGGTTTTTATAGAGTGGTAGTCTAATTTCTAAATTTCAGTCTGTAGGTATACATGTACACTACGAATAGTCCTTCTTTCGCTTAGCCCGTCGTGCGTGACGCGAAAGAAATGGCCCTCAGGATTTCACGCGCCCATTTATTCCGCGCGGTTAATTTACGGTTTCGCTCAACGGACCAAGTGAAAGAGGAACTACTCGTAGTCTGGTACACATGGGTAGGCCTTGGCGGATTGTGCTAGCATAATTTTGGGCATAATTGGAACAAAAAAACATACTTTTTTAAAGGAGCACTGCCACGGCATAATTAGCAAATTTTAGCACTTTTTGGAGCATAAATTCATAAAATTTAGTAAATATGGTGTATTTTCTACAGAAATAAATTAGATTTGGCTAGTATGTTTTTTTGGAATACGTGTTTTAGCTACGGTAATAGTAGTATTGACTTTGTTCTGACATGCGTAGTTACTAGGCAGCTAATTTGGACAGCTGACGGCCGAGACAAACTGCCATAAAACACAAATAAATTTACAACAACAGTTTATTTGAAAAACATCCTAATTTGGTGTCGTTATTGCATGCGCGCCTCTATGTACAGAATCTACGTCATTTTGTAAGCATAATTTCGGAAATCAGGAGCATATTTTGGGAATTCTGGCATAATTTTGGCATAATTTGGCAAAATTTCGAGCACTGCTAGTAGCATAATATGCCACTTTTAGGAGCACAATCCGCCAAGGCCTATACATGGGTGTTTACTCACTCTGCTTATGTCACTCTGTTTGACGCTCAGCCATGTGAGATCAGTCCCAGGTTGTTCGAAAGGTGGATAACGCTATCCACTGCACCGGATAAATCACTATCCAGCGGATAGCGTGAACGCTGGCTTACATATTTAGCTTGAGCAAGTTCTGAGAGCAATTTAGACGCACTGAACAGATCTAGACAATTTCGAAATTCAAAGGTAAAATATAAATTCATATTTAGTGGGCGTTGTCGTCGGGGTCGCCGTCGTCATTGCTTGAACTCTCTTAGTATACTTCAGTGAACTCCATCGATTCTGAGCGACACTTTCGCAGCAGTCGTATAGTAGTCTTGGTAATATGAAAACCACGTAAAAAGAAAGCTTCAGTTCGGGGACCGCGGAGACCATTTTAAAGTGGTAGGGACTTAAACTATGGGCGGCCAAGACAAACAAGCATTACGGGTCGACGTTCCGCAGTAGACTGCTCACAGCCCTCTTTTTTCTCGCCTTTTATTTGAATGCGCGGATAGAATCGCGAGAGAAATGGACGCCAGCGGAAAACGAGAAGACCCCCACTCCCCCCTCCCACCTCCGCGTGCTTTGCTCGCTTCGCTGGCTTTATCTTTCGGGTGCGTGAATACAGAGGCTGTGAAGAGTTTATTCCATCATTCAGTATACATTTGCGCGCCGTTATCCATGTCATTGGCCTTTAACTCTGTTTAAATGTCATTTCACTTCAGACTTGCATAATCCGCAAAATCTTCTGCAACGTTTCAGATTTTTCCGTGAATGTTCGGCCCCGATTTGACTCAATTTTCCAGAATATAGAGGACAGTAAAGGAAATTGTGCGAAGAATACAGTTAAATCTCGCGTATAAGAACCTATTTTTTTTAAGTCTAAGGTCTTGTATTTTGGGGCAGTTTTTGGCAATTTAGGCTAAGTAGCTTCTTAATTGAGGGTGGTAAAGGGGGGGGGGGGNAAAGAGAACGTTTTGGAAAATCACGGTTCACGGCGACTATGGAAATCTCGATTCGCGAGGGAAAAAATGGCTATTTCACATTTCACAGGAAATAAAAAGGGCCGATCACGGGTCACGAAAATATCCTTTACCACCCTCTTAATTAGGTTCTTAATTTCTATGAAGGACATATAGTTATTGATCACCAGAAAAATAAATAAACTTGGGTTTAGTCCTTGAACTGATATATTACAGTATATAATCACAACTGTACTACTCGGTATCTATTTTCTCATAATCAATTTGCCTCGAAGTCACACTCCTTGGCTAAAATGTTTATCATAATTTAACGGTAGCCCACATATAACAACCTGCTTGATCTTGATTGGCTAAACAGGTTTTTATATAAATTTTTGAGTATTAAAATGGCAAATATCTGCCAGCAGGTTCTTAAAATACTACGTTCTTAGAGGTGGGTTTTACGTTATTTTTATGTCTTACTCGCTTTCCTCGATCACATGTTTCATTAAATCAACTCAAAAAGTAAACACCGCGTGCGCTAAACACAGGCCACATCACTTCGTTTAGATCATGAGACTGAAATGGCTACATCATCGCTATAATTATAATTTGTGACATTTCTGTCCACGGACCGCTTCGGGCCATTTTACATAATTTTGTTTTTGAAATATTGTTTGCTTACAGCTTTATTTGTCACGTGAATAACGCTCCCTTTCTATTTTTTCTACAAACAGTTCTAACAGTGTTTGATATTAATCATGTAATCAAACGAAGTCTGCTATATTGACCTGAACTATCAATATTTCTGTAGACGACAGAGTTATTTCCTGAGCGGTACTTATCTTGTCACTTGTCTCGTATTTTCGCGCCTTTTTCGCGGATTGGCCGACTTCCATATAAGGAATGCGGAACACCAATTGCCGTGTCACTGCAGTTCCCGGATGTCAAGTGAATAGGTTATGGTAAGATATGGCGGCGCGTGTGAGAAGAACGATGGAATATAAACTCTTCGATTTCAATATAAATGAAAAACGCTGAACGGAAGATTCTCTTATGGCGTCTTAACATTGCTAAATCTTCTTATCTGGAAGCCGGTAGTCTGTTGAGTCGCCGATCCGTCTGGGATGAGTTCTAAAGTTAAGGTGGCCGTTCGTGTGAGGCCTTTTAATCGTCGAGGTAGGAACAAATCGTGTTCGTAGCTTAGAAAACCGGCCTTTGATTTCGTGTTTGAACGAGTATGAATTGCTTTGCCTTTCTCGGGATTCCACAGAAATCGATTTGGGGACAAAATGTGTGGTGGATATGGACGAAACACAGACGGTTTTGTTTTCATCGGCATCTCGAGACAAGTAAGTTGTGGGGTTGTGTGCACGCAGGCCAGGGTGGGAAAGAACAGGTCTTATTAGATGTTTTGTTATTTGTGAGCTGATTCGTATTTAATAGTTCGAATGGCCGGATGTGCATCTTATCGTAGATCTCTAGCGATCGGCAAATGCAAGTGAGAATGCTTCGTGCGTAAGCCAATTTTAAGTTCAGCTCGTAAGCTTATAATGGGCTACGTTTATGTAGATTTTTGTTTTGAATGGAAATTTCTTTGAAATCACGGAAACTGGAGCTGCGTGCTGAGCCAGAACACCGTTATATTATATCCTATGCATTGTGCTTCCTTTGCGAGATGATGTTGTGATTTTATTTCTCGCCTAAACTTATTGCTGGCTCCAAAATGATCAATCCACGCGACAACGCCACCATTTCCGTTTAAAGCTCAGTGTATGTACCACGTTTTTTGCCGAAATAGGATTTTCATAAATTAATGTTTAGAATGGTTGTCATTTCTGTAGGTCTTCTGTTTTTAATCTTCAAAATCAAGCTTGCTCGTGCAACAAGCGACATCGACAATTTCATTTTGAGCTTACCATTTCAAAGGTTTCGTTCTTTACCTGTGCTTACCTGCCAAGTGCCGTTATTAAGCTTATTTCACTTTTAAAAGATTTAATATGCCCTCGTTTACGATGTGTACTGTCTGAAACGACATCTAGTAGCTAAATTTGCATTAGATCGACATCGATCGGAAGCAATGTCATTCACCATTCATAGCTACATTGTAGTACAACGAATGGTATCGATCCTTTTGATAGATATTTGCTGAATTTTTTCAGCAACTACACTTATAAATTCAGTTGTTCCATGATTCTCGCCAGCGAAGGCTTTTTTATATCTTACTAAATGTTGATTTTACAAAGAAGACTTCAGAGTGAGAATCTCTCATATAAAATGACGACTGAGCAATTGAAAGGGGCCCAACATTTTTTTAATTGGAGCGGAAATTATTCACGATGAATCGTTCGAGAACCTTTCTCTGCCCACTTAGGTTTCGTTGTAAACAAAGGGCATCCGCTTGAATGGTTTCAAAAGATTTGTAAACAAAATGGGCTTAGAAATTAGTACGAGTGTAAACAGAAAATGTGCAGTGATTTATTATTACAGAACAGGGTATTAGCTGTCACTTGAGATATTTGTATGAAGCTCGAAATGTGTGCCAATGTCTCTGTTATGCAATAGAAATGCAATTTAAAGCGAGTATTAATCTGTTCAAACCCTCGCTGGAGGCTATTCTATAAATCGTATACATTTTGTTCGTATACAAACTGTAACAATTGTCGTACGTCGATTGTCTTGCACGTAGAGGCACACTTGTATGTTTAAATTGTTTTTATTAATTTTGATTTCTCTTTTTGTCCACATTTTTCCGTGGTTCGAAATAATTTTGGGGACAGGAAACACACAAAGGTATGCAAGAACTTTGTTAATTAAATAGTCTGGTCATATGCATTTATGCAATATTTTAAACTTGTTTGCATGCAAAATATTTGATGAAAGATTATGGACATTTTACGAGTGATGATGAAAGAATATGGAATTTTTATGAACTGTAAAAACTCGTTTGCCCTTTAGGTTAAATGTAGTGACAAATACGTTTTGTACAAGCTCTAAAATAAAGGAGTGAAATCTATCTGCCCTAACATGGTTCTACTCCTCTGAATCAAATAGAAAAGCTAGAATGGTTTGAGGATATACTTCTGTTCTTAAAAGATAACTCTTGAAGTTATGATCAAAGGATATTTTGTTTTCTTTTATATTATCGTAATCTTGCCTGTGGAACGAATATGCAACAAATGTATACAATTCAGACAAATTTAACAATATGTCAGTTATTTGGAAACAATGTCATAGAAACACTTCAGATAAACTATTGGCCTGTTATATAACTTGGTCATGTGACGTGCTGAATTATTTGAAACAGGTATTTATGTTAAGCCTCAGTCAAATAATAATAAGGTTGTCCAAAGTGCAATATTGTTTAATTTTTTTAACAATAATGGCTGAAATCCAAATTATTTATGGAGGTGTATGTGAATATCCAAAAATTAGAAGACAGTGCTTGCATGGAAGAGTCCAAGATGTTTCCAAACAAAGCCAACATTCTTCAAAATTTCAAACTCCCATATACCGTAATTATTCAGTTTTGCACGTGATAAGTGTAAAATGCAGCCTGGGGACTGCAGACTGCGAGTAAAATACAGACTGGACACTACAGACATTTTAAGTAATATATATCACATTATTTCCATTATTGAGTACTGACCATAAACAGGGTTATTGAGGCCGACCGTAAATATGATTATTCAGGCTAACTGCAGTGAAAGTCGGCACTCTGGTTAGCCTGAATATCACACTAGTTAACTTGAATGTCACTCGGGTTAGCCTAAATAGTGCTTTGGTTAGCCTGTTTACAGTTAGCTTTCAATGATGGAAATGGTACATGTAACATGATTCAGTTAAAAAGTTTGTAACCTGCAGTCTGCATTTTACCCTCAGTCTGCAGTCCACGGTCTGGGTTGTACACTGACCAGTTTTGCACCCTGTAGTGTTTCACAGTCAATGAAACATCCGGATATAACCAAAATAAGTACACACAAGACAGATTCAACTCGACACTTGACCATGTGCTTTTAATCATAACTATAATTCATTTGAACTGTACACGATTACTTCATTGATACTATACACCCCATCGCTAATAAGCAGCCCCTCTCCATTACACTCCTTCTCTTGCATATTGCGATATCAGTTAAGTAAATTAAACCCGAATTTTCAAACCTTGGTTTTTCTAATCTTCTGATTATTAGAACCAATTTTGTTCCCCCTTGGCTAACAAGTTAGTCATTTATTACAGTACCTTCAAAATTTTGAACCTCCCAATTTTTCGAAACTTATTTCTGTTTGGTTCCCCTAACTGGTTGGAAACATCTAGATTCCAATGAAGTAGATACAAAAGACCCACATGTGTGTGTATTTTGAACTAGAGATGCGCAGTATACAGTGTACATGTATGCTTGTTGCTTTAGTGGTCTCTTTGTTGATGTTGTTTTTGCATTTCTTAGACCTTTGCTTTCGATCACTGCTTTTGGTCAATGGATGAAAGCAACAACAAGTATGCCAGTAAGTGATGTGTCATGAAATTGTTGGAACTACTGCAAAATTAAATGAAGTGTATTTAAGTGAGAAACAACACAGTTGAATCTCTGGTTGCAACCACCTCTCGTGAGCGACCACCTCTTGTCAACAACCAGTTTTCCAAAATGCCAATGAAAGTTTCCATGTCAAATCACCATATGGAACATCTTGTAAGTGACTGCAACCACCTTTATAGCTAAAAATTTGAAAGTTTCTCTTTTTTTTTTTAACCTCCCATAAGCGACCACTTGACCAATAATAGATCTGAAACTGATAAAAAGGTGTTGTAACTTTATTGCATTATTATCTTTATTCACCTTATATCATTCATTACAATCATTTACATTACAATCAGATGATATGTGTAGTTGATAAGGCGGGAGATCAAGCAAGCTCAGTTGAGCTTTTTTTCTGAAAGATCCCCCACAATTATTATTTCATTATTAATATGTAATTAAATACAGACAGTGGATTATTTCTATCACAAAGATCAGAAACCAGTTACATTTCTAAGTCTTCTTTCACTAAGTACAAGAGACAGACATTACCCAATGGCAAGTGCCAGATTTTTTTTCTCTAACTTTTCACTTTAATAAACCATTTGAAAATTTAAAGGAAAAATGCACATACACTGTACTATATCAGTCTTAAAGGACATGACCTTTTAATGTGTCATAATTACAGAAAATTAGAATATTCCTCTGCAGTTACTATATTCAAATGAGGCAAAATTTTGACACAATATGGTCTAAGCCCTGGTAAGCGACTACCTCCCCTAATCAACCACCTAGGCTTGACATTTTGGTTGATCGTGTACGGAAGGTTTGACTGTATCTTAAATTTGATAATTGAAAGGGTATCTCAGTCATGCCATTATCAAGCAGGGCAGTCATGTTCTGAGTCATCTGTTGCCCTGATCTTCACAACTGTAACAAACTTGTTACTTTGTGGGTGAATTGTATCAATTACAAGCAAGTTCACTTATAACATGAAGGGCCCATCAAACATACTCAGCCGTAACAGGTGTTGTGGGTCGTGGCCCTGAATAAAAGACCTGTCAAAGAACTTAATGCCTTGTGAAATACATGTACTGTTTGTCATATCAAAAAAATATATAACTTTGTAACTGGCTGATTTTTTAAAATGTAATCATGTTCATTTGTGAAGTAGTTGTGAATAACAGCTGTTGGTTGACAACTGCTTTTGCATATAAATAATTTATTTTTGTTTTGCTTCTACCCTATAGGTCAGGAGAAAGTTTATAACTGTCTTGGAGCAGATGTTCTTTTGAATGCGTTTGAGGGCTATAATGCTTGTATTTTTGCTTACGGACAGACAGGTATAGAGTGATCATAATATATTTTAGTTGCCATAACTTGTAGTATGTGATACTGAGTAAAATAAGGTGAACATTTTACTAATAGAAAACATGTACCGTGTTTCTTTCGAGTTTTCATGTAGTACAAATCTACTAGCGTAACAATACTGTCGGCTGCAATTTCACGCACTTTGCTGCCAATGACGTCAAAGGCTGACAAGTTGCACTGGAAACAGAGCCAGTTGCCTGTGACAACAACACAAGGCGAATGTTAAAACCTGGCCACCAAACCTTCATTGCACCTTTTTCAACTGATGATTCGTAGTAACTGCAGTTGATTTGTACATGTGTATTGTTCCTGTTGGTTGGCGGCATGTGTTATTATTGTTAATTATATTATTGTTGTTCTTTCAAGGATCTGGGAAGACCTTCACCATGATGGGAAGCCAGAACCAGACAGGTCTTATACCCAGGCTGTGTGATGAACTTTTTGATAAAATTTCAAAAGTAAGTTACATTAAATAAGTATGTCCACCAAGTCTGGTCATCTGTCAATACCATGACCGAGACAATGGCATTGAAGGATCGTCATCATCTTTGCGATCTTGCATATTATATTACCTTCAGCCTGTCAACCGACTCCAACACATCATGCTGTTAATTACCAGTTTGTGTAATTTCCTACCCCATCATCACCCTCTCCATTTCCTCCTAGTACATTCAACAGCCTTCATGCCATGATCTTCCAGTCTCTTATTGCCTGCAAGATATGTCAACACACCAAACTCTTTCACCCTACCAGCTGTCTTCTTTATAATTATCACCCTCTCTTCCATCCCTGTCATTCTCTTATGTGTCTGTTTTCCTTCTCTTTCTCCGCTCCCCTTTCTCTTTCCTTCTTTCTTCCTGGTGCACTCCCTGACGTGTTTGGTATCTCATCCTCCTCTTCCCGATCGTCACAGTTCTCCACTACATGTGCCTCTCCTCCAACTACCACCACCACCACAATTCTGTCTATCTTGTCGTCTCTTTGCATCCTTCTGTCCACCTGGCTTATGTCTGCTCTCCTAGGAGGTAACTCCTTCTTGAGTCGTCCACTCCACCCCACCCCACCCTATTAAGGCCCTGCTCCATCCCGAACATCACTGCTGCAATTTGTGAATGTTATACAAAATATGTACGACAATTTTCTTTGTATTCCCTTCCAGAATGAGGATGAAAACATTACAAATAAAGTTGAAGTCTCCTACATTGAGATTTACAATGAAAAAGTCAGAGATTTGCTTTGTCCTAGAGGGTATGTGCAAAAAGCTTGTTTCCAGCAAAATTGTTAAAAATAATGTGACATGGCATCTTCCATGTAATTTGGAACTCGGTACCTTTTGTATGTACCAGTACTGACTATTAGAATATGAGTTGTCATACACTGTGGGGCACTACTGTTGCTTGTGGTACATTCTTTGTTATTGATGATCTCTTAATACAGTGGAATCCTGATTTTCGAACCTCCAAGGGAATAGAAAATTGGTGTGAAAAATTGGATAGTTCAAGAAATCGGGGGTGAAATTACAGCGTTTGACTGATGAGGGGAAACAACTTAGTTCGAGAAATCAGGATTCCATTGATAACTTATGAAGCTCAATAATAATTATATTTAGTGATATAAATATTTAATGCAGACAGTGACACCCATCTATGTACACGTACATACATCCTGATACCTATTTCTTTTTACAAATTCTCACCAGAAACCATGCCACCTTGCGTGTTCGGGAGCACAAGATTTTAGGACCGTATGTTGAAGGACTGACAAAACTTGTTGTATCATCATTCAAGGTTAGCGTTTAATTTCTAGTATAGAGCCTCAACTTAACATTGTAAATGTACATGCCCTTGCTTGTACTCTTTTACATAGTTGATGCCAAATTTTTTGTGTGTTAAGATTTGTCATGAACAGTTTCATTAATATGTGCTCTACATGTAGATTGAGAGAGGTTGAAAAAGTGATTGTAATCAGTTAGATGAGATGCTGTGGCATGGTGAAGTTTTTTTCTGTTGGAATATTAGACTTCTGTGAAATTTGTTTAAAAAAAACCTGATGCTTGAAGAGAAACGTTTGCACTTTGTTTGTTTTTTTAGGATATAGAGACACTGATGATTGAAGGCAATAAGTCCAGAACAGTTGCCGCCACCAACATGAACACTGAGAGCAGCCGATCCCATGCTGTTTTTAACATCGTATTGACGAGAAATGAATATGACAAGCAAACAGAGGTTTGTGAACGTTTTTTAAGTTTTTATTTTTATAACACTGTTTGTGGTCCTTGATTACATTAGGCAATACTCCTTATATTTCCACCACATTGTAAGAAGAAAGCAGGATGGTCTCAAACCCTGTATCTACAATATCTTCAGCATCCCATGGGAGGTAGTGAGTGGATGCCACAATCAAGCCAAATTCTTGCTCTAGCACAAGATCACAACAGCTTGCAGAAGCTTGTGGTGGTTGCCTGCAGTAGTGACTGATTTGGAGTACCTCTAAAGTTGCCCATAATGTTAGATCAACTGTCGTGACAGTGCATGTAATTATGACGATTTTTATCACTCCTTTTCTTGGATTTTTAGTCTGTGGGCGAAAAAGTGAGCAAGTTGAGTCTTGTGGACTTGGCTGGCAGTGAAAGAGCCAGCAAGAGTGGAGCTGAAGGAGAGAGACTGAAAGAGGGCAGTAACATTAACAGGTACTTCCCATTAATGTACTGTTGAGTTTGCTGTAATTTACCAGTAGATGTAGACAGGGTTTATGCAAGCCATTATATCACTTTATTGCCTCAGCAGGGACTCTGTTAATATTTTTTTTTCCCGTTTTACTATTTAGGTCATTGGTAACCTTGGGTCAGGTTATTTCAAGCCTAGCAGACCAGGTAATGTACATTGTATTCTACTGAAAACTATTTTTTCTATTTCTTTAGAAAATTCAATGAGGGAGAGAAAGAAGAATCCCTCTTTCATCTTGATCATCAAAATGTAAATTATCTCTGCTCATGCCCTTATCATGTCAACAGCTCATGCTACTTGTGTGATTCTATTGAGTCATGGATTAGTTTCCTTTTGGCATACATTCTCGATCAGGTGCTTTTCTTGATCATCAAAATGTAAATTATCTTTGCTTGCGCCCTTATTATGTCAATAGCTCATTCTAGTTCTGTGATTCTATTGAGTTATGGAAGTTTCCTTTTAAAGTGGTATACATTCTTGACCAGGCGGTTTTCTAAATGCAGTTATCAAGCTTGATATTTCAGATAAACATACTTGTCTATAAATTCAGTGGGTGGCAGTGCTAGCAATCAGTCCACTGTAATTATATATAAGGAAAAAAATTTAAACTGAACTTTGTCAATGTATAATTTGTGCATGGACTTCGTGCTTCAAATGCTGGGTTGATTGAGACTGCAGTTTTCATGCAGCTGCGTTCAAGGACAACAACATTTTATCCTTTTGATGTTAAATTACACATACATTTTTTCCTAGTCTGGAGGTAAAGCAAGGAAGGCTCTTCATGTTCCTTACAGAGATTCTGTTCTTACTTGGCTACTCAAGGTAAAGGATGATCATGTTCTGTCATACAATAATGGTAACTAAAAAATATCCATCTTTACAATATTTGTTTGCTTTATCAGGGAATTCATTAAGATTTCCAGGAGGGGGGCAATTGGTTTTCAAAGGCGGGCAAAACTTTTTGAACTGAGCTTCTTTTAATTAGCAAGAAAATCTTTCCTCTAGATGGCCAAACTTGGCAGGCAAAATCATCCTCACAGCTGCTGGTGCCCAGCCTTTGACAAAATCCCTGCTTTATTACATGGAATTAAAATATCTCCAAGAAAATATAGTATGCTTCAATGTACATGTAGTTGGTTAATTTTGCAGGCTGCATTCTACACTATAACCCAATTTCTGCATGCTTGAATTATTTCCTTTTCTCTATTCAGCAACAGATTTAATAAATATTGACTTAATCTAATTTAATTAGATATGGGTTCTTACACATATTTTTCCTTCAATTTATAGCCTGTGTGCTTTGGGCTTGGGCCATAAATTAACAGGACATGTACACTACCACAAATAATTTCTCATATGAGACATTCTATAAAATGTGTGGAAATTAGCACTGAGAAATGTTATTTTGAGCCAGGAATTTTAAAAGGTTAAAAGATCTTCTCAAGGCATGATTTAAATATTTTAATTATGGTCTAATGCTGATGTTAATATCAGGACAACCTTGGTGGCAACAGTAAGACTGTGATGGTGGCCACAATAAGTCCTGCTGCTGATAACTATGAAGAGACGCTGTCTACTCTAAGATATGCTGACAGAGCGAAACGTATTGTCAACCATGCCGTTGTGAATGAAGATCCAAATGCAAAGGTACTTAAAGATCTTTTTAAGAAACTCACTGATTCATCTTAATCAGTATTTCAAAAAAAAAATAAATAAATACATGCAAAAAATGTATATAAAATAATCAGAAATTAAAACCAAATTTGGTTAATGAACTTGCTATTCTCATTGTTTCTTGATGCAAACATACTGGATAAGGTGCTACTGTCTACTGTACTGCACACATGTAGCATATCTTTTCTTGAACAATGTGCAAAAAATATAGGATAAATTTTGCAAGGAAAAACACGGCAGCAACCTCAATTTTTTTGTTGAATTGAAAGCAAGTTAGTAAGTTAGTGCTTAGTGCTCAGTGCTCAGAACTTATACACTGTCATGTAACAAATCCAAGTTTGTGAGGCTTTACAACTTTTGTCTTTTGCTGTTCTTGTAGATCATCCGTGAGCTGCGTGAAGAAGTAGACCGCCTGAAACGAATGCTACAAGCTAAGATTGCTGGGAAGTCACATATTGTGGAACCTGGAGAAACAACCATAGAGATTAAAGAGATGTTATCAGAGAGCGAGAAGTTGATGAGTGAGTGCACAATGACATGGGAACAGAAAGAGAAACAAACAGAAAAAATTCAACAGGTATGAAATGTGTGGATCTACATGTATCTTATGCTAATAAAGACAAGTTTCTTTCAGTGGAAGGTGTTTTTTGAAGAAGGGACCTTATCTGAAACAAACCTTTACAGCCCCTATTCAAATTGTAATAACTCCCTTTAATGATT